GCAGAGAAAAACTAAGAACAGTTTAATGTTTGTTCCTTTTTTTTTCTGACTGAATACTTACAATTATTTTCTCTTCCTAATCCAAATATGTTACCAGAGTTTGTCCAGATACTATTTGTACTATAACCATCTTCAGAAGAATTGGGGAGGATGGAGGAAGAGTCCCTTATGCCCTGCATGGAGGAGGATCCCTTTGCAATAGCTTCCTAACAGCCCAGCTCCCTGGGTTTCAGTGATTCTGGGCCAGTATTTAAAATGCCAGTTTCCATGTATCATTCAGGTGGTGTGAATTACAACCTTACAACCTAAAGTGGGTATTAATGTGGGCACTTGTCACGTTTCCCTGAATCTACTCAAGCCAGTGGACAGTATATTTCCAGTCCTCAGTTTCTGGAGAAGCCCATTCTGAATCCCCATTTATACAGTTATCACGTTTCTGACTTTCCCCACCTGCAGGGCCCTCTTTCCCGACTGCTCCATGAGTCTGGTACTGAAGTCCCAGTTCCATCTGTTAAGGCCTAATTCTAATCCCTCTCCAGTGAAGTCCTCAGGTTCAGGCCCTGCCACAAATCCCCAATTTGCTTTGGCAATTTGGAATTTTCCTTTCCTGGTTTCAAGCTCAGCTACCAATTAAAACAATTTTTGTACTATTTACCCACCACCATTATGTGTTTGGATTGGGAAGGGCAGAGGCATCGCTCATGTCAGCTCCGTCCAAGCAGTCCAGCAGGCTGACTAGAAGCATCAATTCTGCATTTTGAGTTCCTGGCAATACTTTCTTATCACAGCCAACATAAAGCTTAACAGCACAGCCTTTAGAATTGGATAGATCAGGATGTGAATTAGTAGTGGAATAGTACGCAAGTTATATAACCTCTCTGAATGAGCACCTTGCCTCATCTATAAATGTGCATAATGACACTCCCACAGGATTTTCCTGAAACATAAATGAAATCAAGTAAGACAGCGCTGGCACACAGCATCAGGTGCCACTCATCCCATTATTATCTGGTACTTCCTGAGTCATCGCTTTCTGCCATTGTGTAATGGCCTGGGCCCTGCTAAGGGTAGCAAACAATCTTGTTATGTCTCCTCCAGTTCAATGAAGGGTAAATCTTTCTCTCAGTCTCCAGGACAGCATGCCACTGTGCTCTTCTGAGAATGTTTTCTCTCACATGAGCCATTTGTTGTTTCTCGTTTTACCTTGTTGACTCTGTCTAGAACAAACATGGTCTCCTCCTACCTAGTGCCTGACAATTGCTAGGGTGTGTGCTCTCCTCTTAGCCATGGTACTGTCCCTTCTCAGATTTAAGTGATCAGTGTATGAATCTCTGAGTGGAGTTTCTGGACTCTTGCAGGCATTGGACGAGGACAACTCTGCTTCACTGAGGCTGGTCCTTGTCATGACCCAATTGTCTCATCTCTAATAACCGGATGCAACACACACACACAAATTCACACACACACACACACACACACACACACACACACACCACCTTCACTAGCACAGATGATTTTTCTCCATTCCCACCTATAAGTAGTATAATTATTTGGGATTTGAGTAGTAATATGCCAATCTAGTTCCGCTACTATCGGGAATTGTGTGTTAGAGGAATAGGAAAACAGAAGATGATAGTAGAGGAATTGCATCCCACTTTTTAGTTAGTTGTCATTGACCCTGTATCTCTGCACCAGGGGCAAGGTGGCATGGGAGGGAAAACTCAGATTTATTTTCAGGTTGGAAGCTTTGCTCTGTTTCAAGAGGCAAAACATACATTAAAGCCCAGTTGTGATTCTCGGCTCTGCTCCGTTGATCTCCTTTTGCATTCTGACAATAGGTTCACTCTAAGGTAATGGATGTGCTTTGGTCAAGGATAGGGCAAAGCAGGATGTTTACATCCTGTGTGACTCAGCGAGTTTAGAGCGCAGGTGTATAATTCCACTTGTTATCACAGCCATGTAGCCATAACATGGGAAGGCTCATCATTTGGCTCTAAGTCACTGCTGTCTGTAAAAGGTATAATTGCCATGTTGACACTGTATAGGTGCACTCATGCCCAGAGAAAGAAAGAGTTAAGCTGCTGACCCTGAAGGGAGAGCTGGCTATGCCGCTGTGTGTGGCAGTGGCCAGAGCAAGCAGCCAAGACAGAGCAGTCTGTGTAAGAGAGTTGCTGATGAGAGAGCTGCTGAATAAAGCTGTATTTCACGTACCTATAGCCCCCTGAATGTTCTTTCAGCTCCCCGCTCCCCGCTCCCCATCCACCCACACCCCTCCTACCTCGACATGGGCTGGAACCTGACCCTGGATCTAACATTCACTGACATTACTTTTTAGTATGACAGGCATTTGTAGTTTTCTGTATATGTGTTTATGTAGTAGTAAGAGGCTGCATCTGGGACCAGTAATCCTAAATGTTACTTTGAATTCAAAATTTAAATACAGAATTTAATAATTTTAATCCCAGCTGAATTTTTTATCAAGGCCACAAGAAAATCAAGACAAAATGATAGAGTATATACTTGAATATAACTGGACCCAAAGTAGGTAGCACGAAATAAATGTTTCTTTGCATTGAATTTAAACATGGCCCCACACTGCCAGTGCCATCATTTCAAAGTGTCTGTTCCTACAGAGAATACCTCAGTAATTGTATTAGGTGCATCACTTCAACTCTCTTACTGTGCTATAGGTGTCATACAATTGCTGTCTGGTCCTGGCAGGATGAATTAATTATCAGCCTGCCAGGAAAGGACTGGAGGGCAAAATTATTATTCTTAAGGCAAGGCAAAATGCAAAACAGATTGGATTTTAAAATTTGGTAATTTCATAGTTAAAATAGTAAAGAAGGGCTAATAGTATAAAATGGAAACTGAAAAAATGTAATATGCTATGAAAGCCACTGACACGGAACAAGACAGCTTAGGTTCTAGTATTAAACTGAGATGAAGACTACCTACTTAACTGGATCAACAGACATGGTTTGGTTTAGAGGATGCCATTTTCCCCTGTGCCCACGGCTGAAATCATTAATTAATCACAGGACCTTTTTCATGTCTTTCCTATGGTTCTCTCCTCTGAACCATACAGAGGTTCTTCTCAGGTAGCCACTGGCCATTGAATTTGTCATACACGATAGTTTCAATTATCATTTGGCAAACATCCACGCCTCTCTCCCTTCCTGCTCAAGCAGTGTATATTTCCCTAGCTCACTGATACTGGACTTGGCCCTATGACTTGCTGTGGCCAATGGGATGGGATGTGAAGAGAGGCGTTAAATGCATTTGTGTGATTCGCTTTGTGGTTCTTTCGCTCTGGTATCTACCATGAGAAGATCGTGCCCCAGCTAACCACTGTCTCTTTAGCTTGGGCCTCATGACAAATGTACGTAAGAGTGCGCCTGAACCTGACCTACAGCCTGAAGCAGAACACATCAGCTGAGAGGAAGAATGAGTTCCCGTTGCCGTAAGCCACTGAGTTTTAGGGTCCATCTTGGATGAAACTTATTGGTCATCCCTGCCCTAAAAATTGGGAGAACACAAGGAAATGATTAGGATAAAGTAGACACATCATTCAGAAGTAATAAGGAGGCAGTATGAAGAAGAAATAGCCATACTGGAAGTTTGAATTATCGTCTAAGATTTTGACTAATCTCTCAGTCTACAGACAAGAGACTGAGCAACTAGCCTCAGATTCTACAGTAGATTGGTCTCTGATGAGGCTGAGAGAAATGAAATGGTTTGGCAGAGTTAGGATGTCAACTTAAGTCTCTTGATTATTAATACTGTACAATAATGTGTGCTTCTAACAGGGATGCTTTCCTGGCATTCTGAACCAGGGAGAATTGAGCTGCCAAACAGTGTCAAGCAAAAGTGGGCTGCCAAACTGCCCTGTGTAGGGTCAATGGCTTTGTCCTCAGAGAACCCATCTATGGGAACCTTAAAGAAGAGCAAGCACCCAGTCCGACGTTCAGGCTGTGGCTCAGAAAGCCGATAAAGCAAAATTCTACCAGGTACGAAGGAAATATAAATAAGAAAACAAAGCTTCAGCGTTAAAAAAAAAAAAACCTATAAAATAGTTTACAAAATAATTTGGGACACAAATGCTTCAGTAAAGAGCCAAAGAGGGGGACGTTAGACATTAACACTTTAACTAAGGCTGACCCAACAATGCAGCAAAGTAAGCCGCTGTCTACAGATGTGATTCCAGAGGTATTAGGATGATCACTCCCACCCCTGTCAGGTTAAAACTCTTCTGCTTTGGCTCAATGCTGACCTAGCACCAAGCAAAATTAGAGATGGATGTTAGTGAAATTCCAGTCTGGAAGTAAGACTAGTATCTTACTTCTTAGCACCTATCCAAGTGCTTAGCACACAACAAACACAGGATAAATGTTTTTTGAGTGAAATAGTGGAAAAACACATAAATGAATGTTAAATGCCTGTTACCAGTTATCTGATATAGAGGTTTATATTATAGTTTACTATCAAAGGAGTAACTAAGCAAAAACATAAACAGTATTGCAGTCAAGTTTAAATTTTGCTAATCTCTTTCATTAATTCTTTAAACAAATGTTGATATTCATTGTCTGCTATGTGCAAGCACTGTGCAATCTGCTGTAGATGAAAACTGAATAGATGAAGACCCTGCCCTCAGGTAGCTGATGATAATTTAACAAGAGAAAGAGCTTAAACACACAATCAAACATACATACAAATACAAAATAACTAAGGAAAAGAGGAGGGAGGCATATGAGAGTGGGTGAGTGTAGATTTTGGATTAAAGAATCAGAGAGGCAAAAAGGTCCCACTTGATATGTGTGAACTGAAAAAGAAACAGATGTAAAATATCATTTTTTACAAGAACATGCATCTGAAATGCAGCAGCTGACCAACACGTACACATGTGCAGTGAGCTAAGGGCTCTCTATTTTGGCCCTAGAACCCCTGTGATCCCCTGGAATTACCCCCAAACATTACCACCATCTAAGCTAAAAGCCAACAGATTATAATTAAATCTTTGAAACTTGATTCTATATTACATATGCCAGTTTTTTGCATAATATGTAAATCTCCAAACATACCAAGCAAATAATCTGTATATGAAGACAAAAGATCCAGAGCAGCAAATTCTGGGATATTTGGTAATGCCACTTGGTTAACTTTATGGGTTCTAGTATTCTTCTTTCCAATAAGTAAGTTAATTGCCAGCACAGCTTCACTGACCTACAATTAATGCATAAATTAGAATTATAAATGTAAGCTTTCTAATTCATAGATTATCTATTAGGTAAATAATGTGAAAAAAGTGAATTCATAAAATAATATTCCATATACATTGGAAGAAAAAAAAGACAACCTGAAAAAATAATATGTGATCCCCGACATGTAGAATATATCATAGTCAAACAAATAATTTAGGGTTGACAATTTAATTAATGCATAAGTCACTTTAAATAAGCTACCTCACCTTGCTATGACAGATATCTGCCAAAATGTCAAATATGTGCACATGTGTATCTGCCAATAGTTTCACTGAGAAAAGGTGAAACAAAGGGAACTAAGTCTGGCTGATACAGAGATTGAAAACACACTGGTATTTCTAATCTTTCCAAAGAAACATAATTGGCACAAATCCCAAATAATGTAATTTTTTTTCTTGTTTTCTTTTGAGACAGGATCTCACTCTGTTGCCCAGACTGGAGTGCAGTGGTGAGATCTCAGCTCACTGCAGCCTCGACCTCCCAGAGTCAAGCAATCCTTCTGCCTCAGCCTCCTGTGTAGCTGAGACTACAGGCATGCCACCATGCCCGGCTAATTTTTAAATTTTTTGTAGAGATGGGCTCTCACTATGTTGTCCAGACTGGTCTCGACCTCCTGGGTTCAAGTGATCCTCCTGCCTCAGCCTCCCAAAGTGCTGGGATAACAGGCATGAGGTACCACACCCTAACTCCTTTCTCTTTTATGGGTATACTGTTTTCCTTAAAGGCAGAGAATACAGATAAGACGGTAAAAAGAAAGATTAAACAAAAATCACACTAACCTGTGCAGCAGCTCTTATTGCAATCCAGGCTAATGAACTGTACATTTCAAATTTACTTGCTGATGTTTCTTTAACAGAACTACTTCTTCTGAGAGGAGGCTAAAAATATGGCAAATGTGTTATGATATAAAGTTTTGTGATAACTCTTCTCATCTTCTAAAAATGACATTTTAGTGAAATACTGTGTAGTCACTAAGGATAATAACGTACCTATTGACATGAAAAGATATTCAAAATACATTGAGGAAAGAAAAGTGTAGGTTACAAAATTGTTTGAAAAGTACAATCCTTTTTAAAAAATATGCACACACATACATTCCCTGTACATAAATGCAGGGAAAATTATTAACAGTGGTTATCCCAAGTTTTAAGGTAAATTATTCTTAGCATTTTTTTCTAATTTTCTATAATGAGTTTGCAATATTTGTGTAATAAGTTAATAAAAATTATATATATATATATATTTGAGACATAATCTTGCTCTGTCACACAGGCTGGAGTGCAATGACACGATCTCGGCTCACTGCAACCTCTGCCTCCCAGGTTCAAACAATTCTCCTGCCTCAGACTCCCAAGTAGCTGGGACTACAGGCATGCATCACCACACCTAGCTAGTTTTTGTATTTTTTATAGAAACAAGGTGTCACCATGTTGCCTAGGCTGATCTGGAACTCCTGAGCTTAGGTGATTGGCCCACCTCAACCTTCCAAAGTGCTGGGATTACAGGCGTGAGTCACTGTACCCATCCAAAAATGGCATCTTAAGTAAAATTAAGTGCCATTATAATAGAAGACCTATAAATTGAATATATTGTGTAACAGTGTCAGAAATTAGAACGTTGCTTAAAGATTTTTGGCAGTATTTGGTGTCATATTTCCTGCTAAGAAAAATATTAAAGAGATAGTATTATCATAAAGTTTCATAGAATAACAAAACAAACAAACGATGATTGAAGATTTTTTTTACCATGGGGGTTTCTTTAGTAAAGAATATATATATATATATTTTTTAAATATATATTCAGTTTTTAAACATAAGAAAGTCAATGCTACGGAAGTGAACAGAACAAGTAGCTAGTCTACCAGTAGCTAGTATCTGTTGTACATTTTTATAGACAACTAAAATAAGTAGTAGTAGTTTCTTAAGATTTAAATCATCTGGATGGAGCTAACTATTCAATTAGCCCCACGGGCGCTAATTCTTTGATGCCCATATTTTGACCAATTCTTTAATTTTCAATGAACCTGCAGAATAAAACAAACAATAACAAAAGTATATTTCTTTTACTTCTGGTGAGAAGAGGCCCAGAGAAAAAGAAAGGCTGTGTACAATGCTGATGCCAAAGCAACAAGTATAAGGCATAAATGTGGCCTTGCCTAGCTCTAGCGTTAAGCCTGGCAGAAGATGACACCTGGAAAGATCTGCCTATGGGTAAATCTAAGCAATATAGCCCCGTTCCAAGATAAAACAAACAAATGAACAAACAAACAAACAAAAAATCCTAATCATTAGCTGCAATGGGACTAATCTGGGGTAACGATTGCTAGCTTACTGACTACATAAGCATGGGTAATTTATCTACTTAAATTCTGGAAACAAGACTAATAGGCATGTAATGAAGAATAGAGAACAACATTAAATAACCATAATGTAAGACCAACTAGTGACTCAGGCATTTAAAGAAAAAAGAAGTCATCTCGAATGGAAAGGAAACCTTTATTGAGGAAGTTGGGCTTGAGCCCACCGTAGAAAAATTTGGAGTGGAGAAACAATATGCTGGGCATTTTCCAGATGGGGGAGTTATTCGACATTGCACAGGAGATTGTAGGTTATGTAAACAGGAAAGAAAACCCAGGCAGGGGGTGTGGAATGCATGTAGATTGGAAATGAAGAAGTAAAGTGTCTTTGTTTGCAGGAGACATGATCCTATACGTAGAAAATCCGAAGGAATACACAAACAGACACACAAACACAACCAACATTAATAAACCTGTTTAGCAAGGTCACAGGATACAAAACTCAATACATACAAATCAACCGTATTTTTATATACTAGCAATAAACAATCTAAAAATTAAAATAAAAATTCCCTTGACAATAGAAATAAACAACAAAAATGTATAAGACTCATACACTAAAAAGACAAATCTTTGTTAAGAGAAATTAAGATCAGAATAAATGAAGAGACAGTCCATATTCATTAATTAGGGGACTTAATACTGTTAAGATGACGACAAAAATCTCCTTAGTTTTTTTTTTTTTTTTGCAGAAATTGACAAACAGATCCTAAAATAGATAGTGAAATGCAAAGGAGTCAAAGTAGCCAAAACAGTTTTGAAAAGGAAGAATATAGTTGAAACATGCACTTTACAATTTCAAAATTTGTTAAAAGCTACAGGAACCAAGACAGTGGACACTCAAGTAAAGGTAGACTTATAGGTCAATGAAACAGGATTGAAAATCCAGGAATAAATATTTACATATATAATTAATTTTCAACAAAAGTGCCAAAGCAATCCAATGAGAAAAGGATAGTCTTTGCAACAAATGGTACTGAGACAACTGCATATTCATGGACAAAAAGATGAATTTAGAATTTAGAATCTTACCTCACACCCTACACAAGTATTAACTCAAAATGGATCATAGACTTAAATGTAAAAGTTAAAACTATACAACTTCTAGAAGAAAACACAGAAAATCTTCAACATCTGCAGTTAGACAAAGGGTTCTAGAAATGCCACAAAAAAACACAATCTATAAAAGAAAAAAAGACAATTTGGACTTCATTAAAGTTTAAAACTTTTGTACCTCCAAAGACACCACTAACAATATGAAAGGAAAAGCCACTAACCAGGAGAAAATATTTGTAAATCATTTATCTCATAGGGGGCTTGTATCTAGAATACATATTTTTTTTAAAAAGAAGACTCTCAAAGCTCAATGATGAAAAAAGACAAATGACTCAATAAAAATGGGCAAAAGATCTGAATAGACATTTCCCCAAAGAAGATATGCAAACGGCCAACAAGCACATGAAAGGATCTCAGCATTAGCCGCCAGAGAAATGCAAATCAAAACCACAATGAGATACCACTTCATACCTACTAGCATGGGTACTATCAAAAAGGTAGACAATAACAAGTGTTAGCAAGAATGTGGAAAAATTGCAACCTTCATATACTACACTTCTCCACCTTGAAAAATTGTGATTATAGTCCTTGTCACATTGCAATACAATTATTTATCTCTCTTGCTAGACTCTGTGCTCCTTAGGAAAAGAAACTGGTTAGCATACATTATGCCCTCAGTAAGTGTTCAGTTCATAAGTAAATAAATGAATGTTCAAGAAATAGTCAATTCAACTTAGCCATCCATTATTGAGGACCTGCTATTAACAAAATAGAAAGAAGAATAAAGATGTTTAGCTGATGTTACATAATGAAAAATAATAGTTCCATTTATATAAGTACTTATTATATACAAGTCCATTATCTTGTTTAATTCTCAGAGCCACTCTAAGAGGTAAGGATCCTCATCTCCATGTCACAGGTGAGGAAACTAGGCTTAAAAAGACCTCAGTTACATAGCTAGTAAGTTGTGAAGCTAGGATTCAAACCCACACAGGTACTATGGTCACTCTGCTATATGGACACTACATAAAAGAGCAACAATAGTGCTTTCTTTTAAGGGCTTATAGTGTGTTATCTTTATTAGGACATATTTCAAATGTTATATTTCCATGGTCTGAATATGTCTGCATGAATTTTTTTAATTGGTTTTGGCTGTTTTCTGTGCTTCTAATAATTCTATGACTTGCTAAAATATTTATACTATGTCAAAACATACAGAAAATAATGATCATATTGTAAGGAGTTACACTACTGTTTTCATTCAGATCCTAACTTCTTTATGTTCTTAATTATAAGCACTTCTCTAGTAAGGGCCAGAAAGGTGATATATTATCATCCTAGCATCCTATTAATTTGTATTGCCACCTGCTATAAAAACAAGGGTTTTTTCCTGTTACTGGAAATAAACATGTTTATCAAACAACAAAAAGTAACTTTTTCTAGTTTGTAATTATTTCTATTTAAAAAAGTGGGGCCATTTACCTAAGGCAGCTGCCATATGAATAATTCAACTGACTGAGAGTCTATTTGCCTAAAGGTTTTAAATCATGTTTATGCTGTCTCAAAAATTAAAGATTTGATTCCAACATTTTCTGAAAAGATCTCTTGGAGGGTGAAATGATTATTCAATAAGGATGAAACCGAAAAGCCCACTAAAATTTTACAAACAAAAAATAAAATTACTGGGTTCATATACCTCAAACGCACCCAAATTACTCCTGCCTCTGGGATCTCCCTCAGTCTAGACCCTTGGTCCTCATGTGTGAACCACAGACCAGCAGCATCAGCATCACCTGGGAGGCTCATTAGAAATGCCAAATCTCAGAGCCCATCCTTGATTTACTGAATCAGAGTCTGTCATTTCACAAGATTTTCAGAGGTGTTTCCACACCTTAGTTTGGAAGCACTGCTCTAGCTAGAAAACGCGACCCCTCTGCAACTCTTTGCTGGGGTCCCTCCTCATCCATCAAATCCTACTTCAAACATCACCCCCTTCTCAGGTCATTCATTGAAAATCCCACCTATGCAAGTTATTCCTAGCTCCAAATTTCACTACCTAAGTCACCCCCTGACATGGTTTGGCTGTGTCCTCACCCAAATCTCATCTTGAACTGTAGCTCCCAAAATTCCCACACGTTGTGGGAGAGACCTGTTGGGAGATAATTGAATCATGGGGCAGTTTCTCCCATACTGTTCTCGTGGTGGTGAATAAGTCTCAGGAGATCTGATGGTCTGATAAAGGGAAACCCCTTTCACTTGGTTCTCATTCTTTCTTTGTCTGCTATGTAAGATGTGACTTTCGCCTTCCACTATGATTGTGAAGCCTCCCCAGCACATGAAACCATGAGTCCATTAAACCTCTCTCCTTTATAATTACTCAGTCTTAGGTATGTCTTTATTAGCAGCGTGAAAATGAACTAATACACGCCCTTCCCCTCCTTCTCCCTCATTTCCTCCCACCTTTCCTCCTCTGGCCTCCTTGTTTTACTGGTTTATTATGTTTTCCTCTACTGAAAGGTAAGCTCCATGAGAACAGTGACCAAGTTTGTTTTAGACACTGCTTTAATATCTTCCTCTGGAAGAGTGCCTGGATCATAGTAGATGCTAAAAAGATATGTGATGAATGAATGAATGATTCTATCAAGAGGAAATCTATTTACAGGCCATATCAGTATTGAAAACTTCACATGTCCATCTGTTTAACCAATATATCATTTCTTGAATTTTCCTGATCAATACTAATGACTCATTCATTGCCTCGCATTTATATGTTATCCATGAAATATAACTGTATATTTATATATTAATATTAAGTATATATTTATGTACACTTACATTTCATGGATAACATTTTCACAGGCAGAAATGTGTATATAAAAATAATTTCCAAAGCCCTATATAAAATGTCCAAAGAGGTATCTCTTTGTAACATATAGTTACAAGTGTAACTACAAAGCAATGAATTAATTTCTCCAAGCCACATAGGAAAATCAGCCTCAGTGTTACCAAAATAGCAAGCTCAAAGGCAATTAACTCATAATTTCAAATAAAATAGACTCTTACCTTAAGTGTTAACGGTGATCCTGAAATTTTTATCTTTGGCTTCTTCAGATGAAAATACAATAGAGCCATTTCTAGGTAGGAGTCTCTTATCAATCTACAATGATATAGCACTGTACTTATTAAATAGTTTCACCATGCATAATCATTGGTATCATTTGCCAACAATTTCTGAGCTGATGAAATGAAAAACTGGCAAAACCAGCATCTGTCACAAACACACACCCTCTTTTCATAGCCCTTTTGACCATAGATACTAGCATCTTCCTCCCTACTAAAATTGGAAGTTCTTGAAGAGAGCTCAGCATTCTGCCTTGTCCTGTGCTGGCAACACTCCATGCTATAACTGCCATGAAGCCTGGCATCAAGACCATTCTGGAATATTCTAGCACACAAGACACTAAATAAGTGAAGGTCAGGGCTGGAGGACTTTGCCTTGAAAATGTAGGCCCCTCTCTATCCTCCTCCACTAATTAAAATAGAAAGAAACACATAGAGTTATGCAACGCCAAAAGCAGAGATTTGGTATGGGTTAGGTCTATGTATTTACTATCAAATCTGTCAGCTGGGGATCAGTGCACCTGGATCAGTGCCGTTGTAATAAAGGCAGCTTACTCAATATTGAGGTTATATTCACACAGAATTAAGTTGACCAGTCCTGGTCCTGACGACCAGAGTGAATAGCCACATGAACCTCTTCTAGACACAACTGCACATTTAGGGAAGGATCTTCCAGTTTAGAAGCCAGTCATCCTGAGGAGGCCCCAGCAATCCTGGGACTGACAGGAGATCTGGGTACAGGCCAATATGCCATTATGAGTACAGACCAATATGCCACTGACAGGAGATCTGGGTACAGGCCAATATGCCACTATGAGGACAGTCATTTACCATTATTTTAAAGGAGGCTTTCGGTCAGAACAAAGAGCAACAAGCTTGAGATGGACCCCATGAACTAGCCCTGCTTTGAGAAGGCATCCCAATCAATCCAGCCTTGAGTGGTCAATATACTACCAGAACACAGGGTTCAAGCCAAACACACACAGCTACAACAATGGAATATCCTTTTACCCTGAGTTTTGATCATTTTTCAGGCTTAGTTGTATAGCTTCATATAAACTCTCAAGTTGAAAACTTGGAGATTTCTCTTCCATTAGTATTTGACGTTCTATTTTGCCTGAAAGAAGAAAAAGATACAAAGATGGTTTTCCCTTTTTCTAGGACTTAGAATTTAAGAATAAATATTTCATGTTGGAAATTCAGAACATTTGGTGTGCTGTCCTTTTGTATGTCTGTCTATTTCTTCCAGAAGGTAAGCCAATAAGGAAAGACCCATTGCCTCCTTCTTCAGAACTCTCAGGCTTCCCCTGCAATCAGGAAGCAACGTGAGGCAAGCCTCCTTTGGCTTGCCCTGCACAACTGGTCTTCCCATCTTCCCATCTAACTTTTCTCTCCATTCCCTTATGCTTCTCCCTCCTCCTGTATCTTACACTCCCTTTTTTGACATGCATTCTCCTCTTTCCCCTGTCTCCTTCACAGATATCAGAAAACATGTTCATTGTAGCATTATTCACATTATTCACAATAGCCAAGATATGGAATCAATCTAAGTACCCTTCAACAGGTGCATGGATAAAGAAAATGTGATATGGCTGGGTGTGGTGGCTCATGCCTGTAATCCTAGCACTTTGGGAAGCTGAGGCAGGTGGATCGCAAGGTCAGGAGTTTGAGACCAGCCCACCCAACATGGTGAAACCTCGTTTCTACTAAAAATACAAAAATTAGCCGGGCATGGTGGTGCATGCCTGTAATTCCAGCTACTCAGGAGGCTGAAGCAGAAGAATCGCTTGAACCTGGGAGGTGGAGGTTGCAGTGAGCTGAGATCACACCACTGCACTCCAGCCTGGGTGACAGAGTGAGACTTAGTCTCAAAAAAAAAGAAAAAAAAAAGAAAGAAAATGTGATATATATACACAATGGAATACTATTCAGCCTTAAAATAGAAAGAAATCCTGTTATTTGCAGACATCATGGATGAACCTGGAGGATCTTACTCTCAGTGAAATAAGCCAGGTACATAAAGACAAATATTGCATGATCTCACTTAACTGAAGAATCTTAAAAAGTCAGGGATGGTGGGGAAATAGGGAGATAATGGTCAAAGGGTACAAAGTTTCAGTTAAACGGGAGGAATAAGTTCTGAAGACCTATTGTACAACATGGTGACTATAATAATAATTATAGATTTTAAACGCTTTCACCACAAAAAAAGATAAGTATGTGAAGTGATGGATACGCTAATTAGCTTGATTGAATCATGCCACAATATATACATGTATCAAAAACATCACACTATACCCCATAAATATATACAATTGTTACATCAGTTAAAAATAGATTGAAAACACTTTTAAAATTTAAAAAAAATACACACACAAACCTAAGGAGAAAAAATAAATCCTAAAAAGTCAGCAAATGGCTGAAAACTCTCTATGATAATGCAAACGCGCTGGCCCTCGCAGCTCCCAGTCCTCATGGTGAGCTCCAGCCTTCAAATATAGGCACTAGCAGGCCAGGCCTGGTGGTTCATGCCTGTAATCCCAGCACTTTGGGAGGCCGAGGCTGGTGGATACCTTGAGGTCAGGAGTTCGAGATCAGCCTGGCCAACATAGTGAAACCCCATCTCTGCTAAAAATACAAAAATTAGCCAAGTGTGGTGGCGCACGCCTATGGTCCCAGTTACTCAGGAGGCTGAGGAAGGAGAATTGCTTGGACCCAGGAGGCGAAGGTTGTAGCGAGCCAAGATCATGCCACTGCACTCCAGCCTGGGCAACAGAGCGAGACTCCGCCTCAAAAAAAAAAAAATGTAGGCACTAGCAGAGCAGCACATGGGTAGCAACAAGGATGGAAAGGGAAACTTCTATAATCATGGTAGAAAGGATTCACAGCTTTCATGCAGCCAGTGGAAAGGGCACAGAGCTGGCCAGCGCTGAGCTCACATCTGGGCACTATCATTTAGTGGCTGTTCACTTTCGGAAAGTCCCTTAACCAGACCTCACCTAATTTTCCTCATCGTCAAGTGGGATTTGTTATGCCTACCTTGCAGGGCTATTTTAAGAATTAGCACTATGAGATGTAACATATTCAATATAGCACCTAGCATCTAGCGGACACTCAGTAAATCATAGCAGTCATCCTCATCTTTTTCTTAGGGGTAAAATGGCCACAATAAAAGTATATAAATGTATTAAGTAAATAGGTGTTATATATAAGTTTTAAGTATAGGTATGCTGTAGCTATTTAATTTCAATGAGTGTATATCTCTTATTTATAAAAGTTAACCAAAATGTTTAGCTAAGTAATGAAATGATGCAGAAAAAAAAGTCTTCCAAACATTATTTAAGTAATATTATTTATAGCTAAAAGGGTATGCTGCCATTTTTCAGTCAAACATGAAACTTTGTATAAGAAGAATCAATTATAATTGTAAACAAAATGAAGTAGTCGTACTTTTTCCTTTCTAGACATAAACTTAAAATAAGCAATGTTCTTTTACCTAAAACTGGATTTGGTGGAGGTACCATTGTGTTAACCATCTCTAAGCCCTTTGTATGTCTGTAATTTTTATAGTCAAGGACCAAATTTTCAAGAATCCTGTTGTTAATAGAAAAAAGAATTCTGCAAATTTTGTCATAGTTCTGACATTTTACCTTTCTGAAAAAGGATTTCAGCTTCCACCTCATGTTCCTCCACTGCTGTTGTTCTACAGAGCTTCAGTGCCTCATCAAACAGACGAAGAGCAGGTAACCACTTCGAGGGGTCCTTCCTTTTATTCTTGTAATATACTTGCTTGGCCACTGTATGTCCTAAAAGAAAAATGGTTGGGTGGGGAAGAACAATACAATACACAGCGTTTATAACAAGCCTCCAAGTTACCAGACTACTCTCACAGTAATGAAATCTATCAAGAACTTTGGTAGTTTTTACAAGTTTTAGCATCCAATAAATGTTTTAAAGACTTTATATCTAGTATTTCAATGAATTACAGTAATAACCCTTTGAAATTTTTTCTTTGATACATTTCTAACATGTTTTCTTATTTTTTAAATGAAGGATAATCTCTCAAAATCCCTTCCTTCTAAAATTTCACAATGCTCTACACAACAACTTTCATGCCACTAAGATGAGGTTGTTAACAGGGAAACACCCAGAAATTTTATGTTGTTCCCAATAAAATTTGCAAATATTAATAGGCAGTAATTTTCTTTCTATTAAGCATTATAGTGGTTACTTGCTTTGTGTGTTTTGTTTTGTTTTTTTGTCATCTCCACTAGACACCAAACCCATGATGGTCAAGGGCTACATGCTATGTTTTTATTAGGCCCCATCATTATTTAACATGTTTTTACTTAAAAAACCATTGTATGGAAGAGACATTAGACTTTATCTATGTGACCCCAGAGCCAGACAGGCAGACATTTATTCAACAAATATTTTCTAAGTGCTTAGGTACTTGATAAAAATGAAAATAGAAAATAATAAGAGCTAAGATTTATTAAACATGTCCTATGTGCCAGCCACCCTCTGAAGGACTTAAATGCATTATTTATATGATCCCCACAACTCTGAGTGGGCACCATTATCAAGCTTATTTGAGAGAGGACAAAGCAGTAAGTAGCTCAGTGAGGTTTCAGCAACTCTCCCAAGGTTAGATGGTTAGTAAATAGAAGAGCTATAATTTGAACCTAGGTAGTCTGGCTCCAGGCCCACAGTCTCAACTACAACATTGCACTCTCTCTTAAGAGGGAGGTCATGAAGCCTAGTGTTTTGTTTAATGGAGAATATGAATAGCCAGACAGATAATCAAAATACCGCATGGCCAATTGTGTAGCAGATAAAGCACGGGGCACTTTGCTAGCAGGCCCAGATTGGGGAAGGTCAGGGAAACTGTCTCAGAGAATGTGGCTGTCTAGGCTGAAAGCAGATTAACAACTTCTCTTTGGTAATTTTAAAGAACAAAAAAGTTGGCATAAAGAGGAGAAGGCAAGTAGGGGAAATAATTAATTGACAGGATAATGGAACACACGATAAAGCAATATAAACAGGCAGTGTAGGACTCTGATACAGATACTGAAATCTAGCTGAAGCACTGGATCCTGGCCAGTCATTGGTGCTACCACGTCACTGAGGCTTTAAACAAGTCCCCACATGCCTCTAAACCTTGAGCGTCCTCTGAAAAAATGATTGAAATATTGGGTATTATATGTCTTTAAAACATTTCTTGGCTACTAAATGATAAAAAATAAAATGCAGCAGAACTACAAAATTGTGAGGTATCTTTAGGTTCTGAAATTTTCTAATTCCAAGCTGCTATGCCCTACAAAGGACATATTTTTTTAAACCTAGAACTTGTGTAAATGTTTAATTCAGGAATGTGCTATGTGAATGGCAGGATGATGGACAGCCTCAGTCTCTCTCTCTGTCTCTCTCTCTCTTATCCAGGAAGAAGTTACTGAGTCCTTACTCTGAACCAGGCAGGAGGGCAGCACACTGATGAGAATACAGAGATGACAAAGTGAATACGGAGAAGAAGAAGAATATGGAGATGAAAAGCCCTTGCTTCTAGGAGGCTCCCAGAAGAGTAAGGAGGCCAGGCATGGAACAGGAAGAACAGCTGACATCTACAAAGCTCTTAAAACAAGGGAGGAGGTGCCCTTCTAAATATGTTATGCATGCCACTCACATCATCCCAGAGGTCAATGACATTGGCACTCACCGACATTTTATAGGAGAGGAAATGAAAACAAGGGAAGTTAAATGACTTGTTCAAGGAATTGAATAAGAATTCTTTCTTAGAGCCCACACTCTTAACCTCAACAATTATCAACTGTGATTAGATCCCAGGTTAGAAGGGAAATAAAAGATATGCTAATTTGTTCAGCACAACCATATTTCAACATCTCCCCTTTTAGTATATTTCACTTACTGTTTCCAATTATACCAAATATCAATATAGGACAAAAATAACAAATACGTTATGTCATCATGCCACGTATATGTATATATAATATGTATTAGTACTATATAGTTTATATTATATATTAGTGCCATATGATGAGATATATGATATGGTATTATATATAATATGATAATGGCACTAATATATAAAAATAATACTTGAATTGTCTTCTAGATTTTTGTTAAAATTAGAATTGTTACAGAAATTATAAACTATTTTCTCTCCCTCCCTAACCAGATAATAGGCTTCCTGAGGGCAGAGATGAGGACTGGCTTCCTAGTACGTCCCCACTCCCCAGCATCATTCTTGCATATAAGTGGCCCTCAATGAATGTTTGCTGATTGAATAAACACAAGAAATGTAAGTAACTTTCATTCACTCCTATTATACAATCAGTAATCCACTTTTTCATGTAATAAGGAAGCTCAAGGTTCAGTCATTAATTTTAAAAAGATTTTAAATAACCATGATGTTTATTTTTGTATTATAAAAATAATCTCTAAATGTCTTTTTCTATCAGAGACTTTCACATGAAAAAAAATTTTAAGTGGCCCATTCGTGTGACATAATCTATACTATAAAGGAAAATTGTCAAGAAAGCATCAAGTCACAGCTGATTTTATGCTTTATAATATTTAAGTGCTCCTTTTTCCAGTAAACATCAACTCTGTGAAAAAGACGTTGTAAAACTGATGTTGTTTTGACAGAAAAGCTGCTTTGGGTTTTGTTTTTTAAGTCTGTGTTTAATATAATACACCAAGAAGCAAGCTGTTCAGCCTCAAGTGACTCTAAAGCATAGCAACAGTATTGTCATTGAGTGGTGACACATCCTCAAGATTAGTAAGTCAGAAAGTATAGAATATATTTGATTTAACACAATCTGTACAATTTAACACAATCTGTACTTTAAGCTCCTGCAGAAATCAAATGCCCTGATAATTGAAGAAACTGTAGACTGAAAATACAGAAAAATAGCTCTCATGAGATCAGCAAGCTGGAAGGAATTCAAGAGGCCAATTAAGTCAGCCTAACTTCATAAAGGAGGAAACGTAATATAAAGGGGAAGTAATGCATGTAAAGTAATAAAATTCATATCTGATGATGATCATCAACATATAATAACAATGATCAATAATAATAATGAGAGGGAGGAATAGAAGGGAGTTGGGAGATTCTGCACAGGTGATAGCTTGGGCATGCCCTTGCTGCCCTCCCTTTCCCAATCCAATCCAACAATCAGCTTCTCCAGAGCTGCTGCTGCTGCTGCTGCTGCTGCTGCTGCTGCTGCTGTTGCTGCAGGAGGCAGGTGGGTCATAGAAGGTGACAGGTAAGAACAGATAGAGCTGGTACAGGATCTTCTGCACTCTGGGATGGACAAGAGCCTGGGAACCAGGTGCAGGCAGCCATGGATCAAAGATCAGGTACAGCATCCAAAAAGAGCTTGGAACAAGGTCTCTAGTTTCAAAGAGTGACAGCTCTGGCTGGCTGCCTTCTTGGTTTCTCAGGACCTGTGAGGGGCTTGAAGGTGGCCTGAGTCCTCTCCACTCCTGAAACTAAAGAATATTGATCTTTGCTGCTTCTCCTGGTGTCTTACAGGGAATTGAACTTTTGAAGTCTGGTATAGAACCAACCCATATAGGCAGAATTAGGTATTCTTAACCACCACTTGCAGCATGGCCACTACTGAAATTAATCCAACAGCTAGATATGACTCACAACAAACGGACAAAGGGAAACAGCCCAGCAAAAAAGATCCAGCAGTTGGCAAGAGGAAGAACAAATACAACCCCCAGAAAAGGTGGCAGCAGTAAAATAAAACTGATTAAAATTCAGACAACAAATCAAAAAAGTAAGAGCATGTATAGAGATATAAAGTTTTCAGATAATTTTGAGAAGACGGTCAATACGGAAACCTAAATTAATAATCAGAAAGATCAAGTGGAAGTAAAAGTAGTTCAAGTTACAGATGATAAAAATAAATGGAAATTATAAAGAAAAACATAATAGACTTAGAAGACAGATCAAGACTTGACATATAAATTATAATAGTCAACACTCAATAGTGCTTACTATGATCCAGGCACTGGTCTAGGCATTTAACATCTTCTTAACAATCTTATCAATTAAGTGCCATTATTATCCTCTGAATGTTTGTGTCCCCTTAAAATTCACATGTTGAAATGTAACCCCCACATGATGCTATTAGAGGTAGAGACTTTGGGAGGTGATTAGGTAATGAGGGCTCTGTCCTCCCGCATAAGATTACTGTCCTTATGAAAGACAAGAGGACAGACTTGTCCTAATAAAAGACAAACTTGAGAAAGCCCATCTGCCCCTTCGACCATGTAAGGACACATAGAAGGTGCCATCTATAAAGCAGAGCCATCCTTCACCAGACACCAAATCTACCATTGCATTATTCCTTTGGACTTCCCAAACTCCAGAGCTGTGAACAATAGGTTTCAACTGTTTATAAATTACCCAGTCTAAGGTATTTTGTTATAGCAGTCAAACAGACTAAGACACTCCCATTTTTGAGATGAGGAAATCAAGGCATAAAGAAGTTAAGTCACATGCTTAAGATCTGAACCTAGGCCAGATGGTTCTCGATGTACTAGTAACTGAAGAAGAAGAAAGAACAGAGAGTTACTAGGCAATAATTAAGCAAGAAGAAATTTTCTGACAGCTAGAAAGAGATTTACTTGCAGATTGAAAGTGCTCACTGATTTCTAGGCAGAGAAAGAAAAGGCATATACCCAGACATATGCTGGTAAAATTACTGAGCTATAGAGACAAAAGAGAAAATCCTGTAAGTTTTCAGAAAGAAATAACAAATTTCTTACCAAAAGAAAATGGAAATTAGACTGACACTACAGTTCTCATTTGAGACACTCAAAGCTAGATATGATGGAATAATCTCTAACAAACCCTGAGAAAAAACAGCCACGCCCAAAAATTCTGGTACTGAGTTGAGAGCACATCACTCACCTCGCAGGGTTCAAGAAAGGTATTTGCGGAGAACATGGAATCAGAATATAATCTGAGGAAAACACTTAAAAAGAAAGAGAAAAGGATTCAATCAACAACCTATGAAGCAGAACAGAAACTGAAAGACTCTGAAGGCTTTGAAGATGAATGAAAAGAAGGAGGGAGGAAGAACAGCAGCACATTCTCAGTGGTACAATGACTAGGATTAGATATTTGAAATTAGAAATAGAGTTTCTTTAAAAAGGAAAGAAATAGTTCAAAGGAAAAGCATCAGGATACTTTGATTAAAAAGTACTAAATTATCTCAGTAAAATCTAGGAGATAGAAAGAGTAGGCGAGAAGGAGCAAAAATTCTAGAGATTTCTAGATGGTGAGATTAAAGTAGGAAGGTAAAATTCATCACAGTCTCATCTAATTGGGGATGGCCTATGAGGGAAACAGGTAAGAGCCTCTTGGTGAGAGGAAAGTTGGATTGGGTATTACAGTAGGGAACCACATGTCTGAGTCTGCAGAATGGGAAAGGAAAAGTACAGTGAATGTCTAAAATAACAGGAAAAAAGGTCATAAAAACAACTTGATCAAACTGACAAAGATAAAGAAAATAAAGTAAAGTAAGTAGTAAAGATAAAGTAAGATGTAAGAAATAACAACAACTGTACTACCATTTATTGCATGACTGTTGTGTGCCAGGCACTGTTTAATACTACATATATTTGATTTCATTTCATTATATCAAATATATATGGCAAATAGCCTACCTCCATTTTGCAGATAAGGCATGAAGTATAAGAGCTTGGATAACTTCTAAGATCAGACAACTAAGAAATAGTAAAGCCAAGATTCAGGCCTAGGTCCTTCAGATCCCAAATTTTCATCTAACCAGCTTGCTCTGCAGTTTCCTATTTCTAATAACCTGTGCGTTAGTCTTTTTTCCGCAGCACTGTCCACTAGATCTTTTTCAAATATTTGAAAAGGAGCTAACATTTACTGAGCACATACTATCTGCCGGAAATGGTAACTGGTGCTAAATGCATAATTTTCATTAGGTTTGTACCTTCACTGAAACATTTTTCTTGAGCAATTTTTTGTTACAAAAGTTATATGTATTCATTGTACTTCACTGTAGCAGATTAAAGGAGAGAGAGAAGCAAAAGAAGACAATAAACATCATCCATAATCACACCTGCCAAGGGGAGTCCCTATTTTCCAATGATCTTTTGATGTATACAATGAATATTTTATAATTTTGTGTTATATATGTTCTAATGTACTATGAACACCTTTCCATTGTATAAAAATTATTCTGCAACATTATTATTAGTGGTTGCATAGTAGTCTAATGATGAATGAAATCTGAAAGCACCATTATTGATTGATTGCTTGATTTCAGGCACTGTGTTAGGTGCCCGAGATGTCAAGTGAACAAAACAAAATCGCTGCCTTAAGAAGCTTATGTCGTAATGGAGGCTTCAAACAAGCAAGTAAATTGTCCTTAACAACCAACATGGTGAGTGTTACAATAAGAATAATCAGTTAGAAGGGGCGTGAGGCACATCAACCAGTCTTGGGGTTCAGGTAAAGCTTCCTGGAAGAAGTGATACTTAACTGAAATCTGAAGGATGGACAGAGTTTAAGGAAATGTATTTGCATGAGTGGGAGCCAGTGGGTAGTGGGGAGGAGAGGGAAGAGAATGATATGGTAAGAATGGGATTTCGGGGGAAGATTATTCCTAATGGAGAAAATCGCATGTGCAAAGGTGTAAAGCAAGCACACATCACCACATCCATCACGTGCAGTCACAGTGATTCAGTGTGACCGGAGGGTTGGGTGGAAAGGGGCACATGTCAGCTTGGACCACTTCATAAGAAGCCTTTTAAGCTAGAATAAATAGAGACCATTTACTTAAAGGATAGCCTAGGGAAATAGAAAGGTAATTATGGATAGGATACCAGAGAGGGAGATGGAAAATTGGGAGAAGGCAGCACCTGAGAATCCAGAGAGAGCAGAGTTTCAGGAAGTTGTGATTGGTGTCAGCAATGTCAAATGCCTTGGAGGGTCTGAAAACTACATGTTGAAATTATAGATTAAGTCCTTGGTGACCAACTCAAGAGTGATTTCTCTGGTCCAAATCCAGAATGAAGTGAGGTTAGGGGTGAATGAGAAGGGAGGAAAGAAGAGGAAGAGAGCAGACTCTACCCTTAAGGAGTCTGGCTGGAAGGACATTTTGTGAGAATGACAGAGGCTTACAGTAGGTTTGTTATTTTTTGTCGTTGTTGTTGTTGTTGTTGTTTGTTTGTTTAGTTTGGTTTTTTACTGGTGGATATTTGAAAATATTTACAAACTGAGGGAAGGAGGGAAAAGGATGTGTTGAGTAAGGAAGGTAGAAAATATGTGAGAGAGGGGTAAAAGTGCCAAAGTAATGTCTCCAGGAAGGACAGAGCCAACTAGGAGCTACAGCAAGGCCAAAAGGCTCAGCAGTATTGATAAAGGGGCAGGCTCCTCCCCTAAGAAAAGAGAGAGGCAGAAGGAGGCTGGAGTCATTAACCATGATCACAAAACAGAGTTAGGCCGATACACGGTTTTCCCACTGCAGGGAAACTATACCACCCACCTGGGATTGAAAATACTATTATCAGCCAGTCCACTAGTTAAGGCACTAACTAGAGTATTGTGAAGGAACATAAGATGCTGTCCCTTCAAGGGACTTTGACTCATAAAAATATGAAGACTTTTGACAATTCCTATATTTGTAAGATACAATTTTATTTCTTAAACTTTTACAAATGAATTATCAGAGCTTCCAAAAAAATGAATATCACCTTCATTAACACATTTATTTAAGCTATTTTTATTGACAAATGGTATCTAATTAAACTAAAGAGCTTCTGCACAGCAAAATAACCTATCATCAGAATGAACGGGCAACCTACAGAGTGGGAGAAAATCTTTGCAATCTACCCATCTGACAAAGGTCTAATATCCAGAGTCTACAAAGAACACAAACAAATTTGCAAGAAAAAAAAATTTTTAAATGGGCAAAGGACATAAATAGACATTTCTCAAAAGACATGCATGCAGCAAGCAAACATGAAAAAAAGCTCAACATCACTAATCATTGGAGAAATCCAAATCAAAACCACAATGAGATACTATCTCACGCCAGTCAGAATGACTATTATTAAAAAGTCAAAAAACAACAGATGCTGGCAAAGTTGCAGAGAAAAAGGAACGCTTTTACACTGTTGGTGGGAGTGTGAATTAGTTCAACCACTGTGGAGACAGTGTTGTGATTCCCCAAAGACTAGGGGCAGAAATACCATTTAACCCAGCAATCTCATTACTGGGTAATATCCAAAGGAATATAAATCATTCTATTTTAAAGATACACGCAAGCATATGTTCACGCAGCACTATTCACAATAGAGAAGACATGGAATCAATCTAAATGACTGTTAATGATAGACTGGATAAAGAAAATGTGGTACATATACACCATGGAATATTATGCAGCCATAAAAAGGAACGAGATCATGTCCTATGGATGGAGCTGGAAGCCATTATCCTCAGCAAACTAATCCAGGAACAGAAAACCAAACACCGCATGTTCTCACTTATAAGTGGGAGCTGAATGATGAGAACACATGGGCATGTCAGGGGGGATGACACACACTGGGACCTACTGGGGGGTAGAGGGAGGGAGAGCATCAGGAAGAATGGCCAATGGATGCTGGGCTTAATACCTAGGTGATAGGATGATCTGCGCAGGAAACCATCATGGCACACATTTACCTAAATAACAAACCCGCACATTCTGCACATGTGCCCCTGAATTTAAAATAAAAGTTGAAGAAAGAAAATAAATAATAAAAATAAACTATTTTTTTTGTTCACAGGCATTAAATTAGCATTTTTAAAGATATAAGTACTTCATGGCATCAGTTATAAAATATATAATGCATTTAACACATTCCTTTCCAAAATCTTCTTTAACAGTTAGTTATAATTTAAATATGCTAGATAACAGATTAGTGATCAAAAAATGTTTTAAGAAATGTATTTTGTGTTTGTAGGATTTTTTTCAGTAAAGTTGCTGAATTGCACAGCAATTTTGAAGTAAATTCTGTAGGCATAATTTTAATACAAAAGACTGATGACCTGGATAAAGTGCAATAGTCTAGACCAAGTAGTTATACATGTTATATTATGGTAATCAACTATGTACTTTATTCATATATAAAGACCATCTATACATCACACAGTCTGGCATATGATAAGTGATCAAAAACTATTGGTTAAACAAATAGAGCCTGAGCATTCATAAATATTGCCTTTTTTAAATGTACTCATATGATAGCCTGCCTAAAAATAACTTAAAAATTTTTATCAGTTATTCTAGTGCAATATTAGCTTAAATGTTCTTACCAATTCTCATTTTGACTTTGGCCAATAACATGACATGGGGAAGATAGATATTTTTCAAAGGCTGTAATGGATTTGCATATTTAGTGTTTGATGAACAAAATTCAATTGTTTCTCCAAAAGTTAGCATCTATTAAAAAAAAATTGTAATGAGCAATTAGTTGATGTGGTTTGGAATAGGAAGAAAGAGAGAAAAGTAAGTTTCTATGTCTTGTGGACACAAAAGGATTCTCACCTGTTCAGTTAGAATGCGATGAGCCCGAGTCAACAAATTTAATTTTCCTGTTTTTGAAAAGGGAGATTCCTTGAATTTCTCAGCTTTGGTTAAGTCATCCAGCAAAACTAGGCTTCTTGCCAGGGTTAGCCGTGATTGAGGAGAAATAAATTCATTTCCTTCCAGCAAATGTATTATATCCTATTAAAATAAAATTATTCATTTTGATAGTACTGTTTCCAATTCACTGAAACAAGAGCTGGTCATGTTAATTGTTATGCATTCAGTACCTAATGGAATTTGAAATTCTCTCCTTTTGTTCTAACTGGAATCCCTCCCTGACTATAAATATGAACAAAGTTTCCTTTCTACCTGAAGGTTTGTTATGATGTCTGCCTTTAAATGCTTTTCTTGTAGGCCAAGAATTACAGCTTGCGTCAAGAATTCAGCCTGCAGTTCCGTGTCGCCTGCACTTTTTGCCTCCATACACACTTCATTGATGAGGCTCAGGCAATCTGTCATATCATCCTCTAAAATAAACAAATGTGGTTATTTAAAATGCATCGAGAAAGTAAGAAGTTATACATGTGTAATAGCCCCAATTTTCATCACTGAAATATTGTATAATATCAAAGAACAGGGCAGTATATTAAGATGGAAAACAGACTCTGCATGAAACATGGAAAATAAATGTGTTGTACTTTGTGGGAAAGTACTTTAGGATTTTCCAGTGCTCCAAAAATGATGATATCGCATGAGATAATTTAATTTGGAAGATGGATAGAAATGAGTAAATAGATAGGTATACAAATAAATAATGATTAATCACTCCAAGAACTAACATTTACATGTGCCAAGCTGTGATCTAAGACAGTATGAATTTAACCCACTTAATTCTGACAATAATCCTAGAAAGTAGGTACAATCATCTCCATTTTACAGGGTAGGAAACTGAGTAAGGGGGATTTAAGAGACTTGGCTAAGAAAGGCTTGGCAAGGAAGTGGTGGATCCAATATTTGAACACAAGTGGGTTGGCTCCAGTAATCTGTGCTCTTCGCTCCTACACTAGTTGCCTTCCCAGATGACACGAAGACCTGGGCATTCGTATTTTGAAATTGCTTTACCTGTTTTGCATACATTAGTAAAATATATGCCACTTTCAATGATACAAAGAGCTGTTAAAAATATTCTTATATATTAATAACCTGAATTTTTAATTCTATAAGCAGATTAAGCTAGAAAGTTATAAAACGTTAACATAATAAAATACATCCCAATAAACCCCTTTTCACCTATGCAAAATTAATTTTTATGAAAACATTGGTTAAGCAAATGTTTGTACCTTTCATAATTCCAATGCCATGAATCTGTGCAACAAACGCAGTCACCAATGCTAAGCAGCACCTCAACCACAGATGAATGTTGAAATATTCTCGGGCATTTAGGGAAATAGGATCTAAAAACTCATTGTCATCTTTATTTTCAGTGGCCTAAACAATATTAAAATGATGGTTATCTTTCCATTTAATAATGTCAAGCTTCTAAACTAAGACTAAATGTAAGTTTAAAAGGCATCTGGTATCATTCCACAGTATTAAAATTTTTAATTTAGAAATGATTCTTGCACATTCTATAAAATATAAAAAATATTCAAAACAAAATCACCCACAATCCAACAATCCTCTATTAACATTTTAGCATATTGCTTTTCAACTTTCCTTTTCTCTCTGTACCCATTGTTGAAAAATAGTTTTGCAGTGTGAATTTCTCACTGCAAATTATATTATCAGCAGTTTCTATGTCATGAAAAGTTTTTGTAAATGTCATTTTAAGAGCTAAAAAATAAATAATATTCACTAATATTCATTTAGTTATTATGTGTCAGGTACTGTGCTACGTGCTTTGTATATATTATCTCATTTAACCCTCCTAACAGCCAAAGAGGTATTATAATCATTTCCATTTTACAGTTGGGAGAACTGAGACCTAGGAAGGTTAACTATCTTGCCTAAACACTGTCATATTTTGACGGAGGTGGGATTCCAACCTGTGTCTTCCTGACTTTAGAGTCCACAGTCTTAATCCACTGTGTTATGTTACTGTATGCTGCTCATATTCCAAACAGGTATTGTAATTAATTTGCCACCCTCAATATTACACTTTACAAAGAGGTGACAAATGTCCAGAGCTACTGAGAGCTAGGAGAGATGTGCAAAGAAAGCTATTTCTGGGGGAGTAGAGTCCATCGTAGACACTGGGAACTTTAAAATCATTTACAACAACCGCCATTTGTTCTAAGTATTTCCTGCTATGCACTTCTGACAGCTCCTCGTGTACAACCAATCAGCAACACATGCTAGCCAGAAGTAGCTAATGGGGCCTAAAGGGGCTCGAATGCAGGTAGGTAGTACAGGAAGAGTAGGGCAAGCTGTTCCCTGGAAACAAGGGTAAGCAGTCAACAGGCCTGGCACCGTGGCTCACACCTGTAATCTCAGCGCTTTGGGAGGCCAAGGCAGGTGGATAACCTGAGGTCAGGAGTTCGAGACCAGCCTGACCAATATGGCGAAACTCTCTAAAAACACAAAAATTAGACAGGCATGGTGGCAGGCACCTGTAGTCCCAGCTACTCTGGAGGCTGAGACAGGAGAATTGCTTGAACCCAGGAGGCAGAGGTTGCAGTAAGCCGATATTATGCCACTGTATTCCAGCCTGAGCGACAAAGCAAGACTCCGTCTCAAAAAACAAACAAACAAACAAAAAACCAAAGAGTAAGCAGTCGACAGAGGTCCACAGGGAGGATAGTGATTCGAATGGGCACAAGAAGTACTCAAAGAGTCTAGTATGTAGATTAGCAATACAGAAAAAAATGCCCATCAGTATAACTTAATCACTCAATGCTCAGATTTCCTGTCACTAATGAAAATACAGGTCACATTAATTTCAATCAGGGTTTCTCAACCTCAGCACTACTGACCTATTTTGGGCCAGGTAACTGCTGTGGAGGGCTGTACTGCAGACTATAGGAAGTTTAGCAACTTCCCTGGCCTCTACCTAGTAGATGCCAGTAGCACCCCTCTCCATCCAGTTGTGACAACCTAAAATATCTCCAGACATTGCCAAATTTCCCCCAGGAGGCAAAATCACCCCCAATTGACAATCATTATTCTAAGTCAATTTTTAGAGTTAGATTGCTTTTAGCATTTTTATTGCTTTCAATATAGTAAGAAATGAGTCTCTACTGAGGACAATTAGTTTTGCTAATTTGTAATGACGCTAGATATTAGCGATTTTATTAGTAATGTTTGAAATAATGAGCAAGGGTTCTATGTGATGAATCTGAATTTATATTTCAGTCCTAAACAATCCTGTATTGTTAAATTACTTGGTCTTATCAAAGCCTAATCAGAGAATATGTGACATCAGTTGTCAGATTTGAGAGCTTAAATGGAAGACTCTAACTATGAGGAATCCAAAGCAGGAAACAGTACAGGTATCTGACTGGCAATGCTAAGGCAATTGATTCAAAAGCGGAATGAGGAGCAAGTCTTGGGAAACAACTTTATTTGCTAGGTAGATCAAAGCTAGATTAATATAATGGTACATCTGGGACTTTGGATGGGACTTTAGTAATTATATCCCAATTCCATCAGTTCAAAAATGAGATTATAAGTTTTTTTAAATTAAGAGATTTGTCCAAAGTATGCCAATAAATAAATAGCATTAATAGGACCTAAATCTTTATACGCCAAATTCAATGTTTTTTCTACTTTACTCCTTTGCTTCATCTAAATAATTAGACAATTTCCTAGCATGCCGATAGTTCTTATATGATAAGTATTGTAAGGACAGACATTAAGTCATACTTACAGAAGTTCCTGGAGAGACAGGATTCTCTGTGTCATCCTGTACTACCTTCTTTTTAAAAAGTTTTGAATCCTGGAGAAGTTTAAGTGTAGAAAATACTATTGCAGCACTAAAATAGAGAATATATTTTAAATGTTATCAGTATTATATTTGTGGCATCTATATGTTATTTCCTAAATCTCTTTCTCCAAAAAACATTCTCACACGCCCCCCCAACAATCCCCAAAACTGTCAGGTGCCATTTCTGCAGGCCCTAATAGCACCCTGGTCTTAACCACACACTAGTACTTGTCATATTTCATTGTCTGAGTATTGCTTCATAGCTAATTTGTCTTATTCCCTATTGAAATCCAGCATCTAGCATAGTGACTAAGACATAATAGAAACTAAAAAATATTTTTAAATGAGTGAATAGAAGAATAAAGGAGTGACGTTTCCAAGATCTAAAACAAAATGTATTGGCAATCTCATTTTAATATTTTGTATTTTATGTACATCAGAACGTGATTCTCCAGCTTTCTGAGGTTATGGAACTGTGTTACCTAATGCTATTACACTTAGAAACTCAAGCTAAATTATTGAATTATTGCTTAATCTGTGTCTAGCAGCACCAGAAAGGAAATGTACTCTATCAAAAAAATGGAGACCAGGAGTTAAGAATTCTTTACTTCCTGTTGCTCCATGTATAAATTTGTCTGCATTTTAAGCCATTATATCCTCCTCCCCTGTAGAATAGTAAATTTAACATTGGCATCACACTTCTTCAAAATATTTTAATGGTATATATTAAGAGCCATCTTCTTTTGAAAATGTGTTCCAAAACAAAATTCAAAATACAGAACATTCTGTATGTGTGAAGATGCTCATCATACACACATAAAAAAAAAAAAAAAAAAAAAAAAAAAACTCAAATATATCCTATGGACAACTTCTTCTTATATCCATCCAATTTCCCCATTTAACAGCTCCACTTGAAAAGTTAATCGACAGTCACATTTAACAAGTGTTATGAGTTGAATTTTGTCTCCCCAAAAGGTATGTTGAGGTCCTAAGCCCCCGTACCTCAAAATGTGACCTTACTCGGAAATAAGTTCGTTACAGAAGCAACCAAGTTAAAATGAGAACATTAGGCTGGGTCCTAATCCAATATGACTGATGTTTCTATAAAAAGGGAGGTTTGGGCCGGGCACAGTGGCTCACACCTATAATCCCAGCACTTTGGGAGGCCAAGGCGGGCAGATCACGAGGTCAGGAGATCGAGGCCATCCTGGCTAACATGGTGAAACCCCGTCTCTACTAAAAATACAAAAAAATTAGCCGGGAGTGGTG